CCTCATCATTCTCAAAACATTTGCTCTCTACCTAAGCCCCTGGACTGTAAATTTTTATGGGCGTAGACAACTTCATCTTTCTTTCAAGCAGTGGCTGGTGGGATTGAACCACTGACTTTATGGTTAGCAGCCCAATGCCTAGACCACAGCCCCACCACATGCAAGATAGGAGCTCAGTAAATGTCTGCTGGACAAGAGGATAGACAGACCCCTGCTGGCATGTAGTGGGTGGTGAGCCGGGCTGCTAACCAACCACAAGGTTGCCCATTCAAAACCACCAGCAGTGCCGCGGGAGAAAGGTAAGGCTTTCTGGACAGTTCTATCCTGTGAGTTGGTATCGACTGGGCTGCCGTGGGCATTGTTTGCTTTATGGTATGATGCTGACAACTCTTGATTTCCTTAATTGGGCTCTCTGGACAAATAACACAAAATAGGAAGAGTGTCCCCGACTTGACAGTGGGTGCTCGCCAGTCAGACCCTGGCTTCCTTCCCCACATTTGCATCCCCCTTTCTGAGGGGGAGAGGAAGGCACAGAAGCCAGGAAGATGGAAAAATAGAATGACTAGAGGTCAGATAGAAATAAGTGGTTAAATGGAGAGAGAAGGCTATTTCTGGGTTTAGTTGATTTTTAATGGGAGGGTAAATCTGGCAAATGATTTCACTGAGCCCTGTGGGAGAAATTCTAAGACATCCCGTTCCCTCTTACCTATATTGTGCTTGAAAGTGGTTTTGAACAAAGCTCTGACCTAGAGGAAGTGGAGCAGTGGGTGGCGGGTGGCTCTCAGAGTTTTTACTGGCTTCAGGCTGAAGCTGCAAAGAAATGAGGAAAAGAAGCAAGATTAGCTGCGCCTCAGTCACTCCGCCCTTTCCACTCTACCGCGTCCGGCCAGGCCCACCATCTCTGGGCCTGGGCCCTGTGCAGAATTTGGACCATAACTCAAGGTTCTCTGAATCATCCAACCTGTCCAGTCCCTTCAGACTGAAAGACTGATGCCCAGGCAAAACTGAAGGAGGAACGTGGGCAAGTGCGCATTCATTCTGACCCTGCTCCAACTCTTTCTCCTGGGTCGATGCCCCGCCCCACCTCTGCTCTTTCTCTTCACTCGGCTGCCCACATGCCACTGGGTGGGCTGGCATCCCCTCACAGGCACCCATACCAAATCTTCCTGCCTTCCACCCACAAAGCTGATTCTGGCCATGTTTCCCAGTGAGTGAGTGTGTGTGTGTGTGTGTGTGTGTGTGTGTGTGTGTGTGTG